TTGCTGTTTAATGTGAAATTCATGAATTATTTCACGCTTGATTGCAGAAGCAACATATTAAAGTAATGAAGAGAATTTGATAAGTTAAAAGTTAAATATAATTCGACTCTCTAAAATTCTGAATTATGTTTGAGACATATTCTTATATTAAATTAAAAGTTAATAAAGCTAAATGTAAAAAGTTAAATAAAATAAAATAAAAATTAAATAATATTCTAGAATTTCGCGAAAGAAAAAAACACAAATCAATCTTAAATTAAAGTTGATCTTTCATTCGATATGGTAGAAGATTAAATCAATGAAGCAATCAACCGATTCCAAAGGTGAAACGAGTTTTTCGGTGGCTGGTTGTTCTTTCTCTTATCGAGAAATTTATTAGCATAGACTGGTAGTAGAAAATCAATATCAATGTCGGATCTTAGACTGTCGAGTACGCTGACCTAACCCATGAAAAATGTTCTTATGCGAATATATATTTTTTCAATTTTGATCTTTTTATATTCTTAAATATCTTCAAAATTATTCCATCTAGAAAGGAAAAAATCATTTTATAAATCATTAAATGTTCCATAAAATATTTAAATATTATTTAATGAAGAATATTTTTAAATTGACTTTATAAATTTTTAAGTTTAATAAATTATGTTAATAAGATATTTTTTATTTTTAAAACAAACCATGTGCCATGAAAAAATTTGAATGAATTCGCAATTATTTACGCATGATTTCTTTGCTCAATGCTCTTTTCTTATTATTTCCATGTCAATGATAGAATCCTCAAAATCACATACATAAGAAATCCCTTAAACGGATCTAGGTCGAATGGAAATTTTCCCTGACAAATTCCATTTATCCACCCCTTTATCCCTTCGAAATAAACTTTGATAATGTTCCAGAAACTGCTGACTAGATTTCCCATTTGCTATGTAATTTCAATGTTGATTGTTAATGATTATCTAATCTCTCAACTAGCGAGACCAGTTTTTAAAAATAAAGAAACTTTTACAAAATTCTAATTTTTAATTTTCAAATTTTTAATTTTCTCTCTCATTCATATCTTTTCTTACGTTATCATTTCAAATGCATTTCATTATAAGGAACTAGAAAAAAAGAATATAAAATGCTACAAAAAGAAATATATTATTTTAAAATCTATTTTTAAATTATAAAAAAATTGGATTTATTCTTTAAGAAGACATTCGAATAACATTCGTTTTATTTTATCATATTTATGTTACTTTTTAAAGTTTTTAAACTTACAAAATAGCATGATATTATATATTTATCATAAAAATGTGATTACATTACATAAATTAATATATAATATCATTAGTCAATGAAAAGTATATCATAAATTATAATACAAATAGCAAGTGTTGCTCATATAAAAAATACATTTGAATAGAAAAAAAAATATTTTGAATAATTTTATTACATAGTTTATGTAATTGTAGAAAAATTCTAAAATTTACGTTTAACACTTACAGATAAATTAATCGAATAGCCTCTTTATTAGAAATGATTTCAAATTTCATTTCTTATATATATATACATACATAATCACATGTATCGTCATTATTACGTATAGATAATTAAGAAACCTTTTGCTAAATTAATTGCACGAATTTATAAAATGCAAGAAGAAGGCAGGAAATAGATGGAGAATGAAAACTAGATCATATAAATTGCAGCACCCTGGTTTGGTTCCGTTGGAAAAACCAAATCGTCGAGCTTGAATCCATCCTTTATCCCACATAGACCGAGCTCCTTTTTCAGTGTATCCACAAATTGAGAAACCTTGTCTTTCGTTATGATGGCCACTATGCAGCCACCCCATCTATGTAAAATGAAATCGCACGAATATATCATTTCATTAATTTTGTCATGTATTGTGAAGTATATTCGATGAAACTGACGCTAAATATGAAATTGCAATATTATAATCACATGAAACATTAACAGCTGTGACGTTTTCAATAATGAATGATTTTATATATTGGAAACATTTTCATTAACATTAGAGTTTCCATAATGTTATATTAGCTCTTGCTTGAGTTGCATGCTATCGTGTTATAAAAATAATTTCTTCGATAAACACTGGCAATTCGAAACACACCCATGGATCGATCTGCTTTTCAGAGAAGTCATTATAATTTTTTTTCTTTTCTTTAAATAGAGATACTGAAAAAAATATTGAAAAAAACATTTGATGTAAAATATGTAAAATATGCATGAAAAAAAGTTTTTTTTCATTCTGAGTAAAGAAGTAATCTACTTTTGAAATCATTTAAAATGCAATAAAATTCATTGAATTTTCATCGTGAAACAATTAATCTTTTCGAATAGAATTTGAAGATTTAGATCCATTTTTTCTTATTAAATTATTTATTATATTTTTAATTACTTGGTATTTTTATTTCTATTGAAAAAGTATAATAATTATGATGAATAAAATTTTGACTTTATAAAAAAAGAATGATTAAAATGTATCAGGAATTTAACAAAAGAAATATATTTAGAATAGAGTTGATTATGATTTGGGAAGTTTCAAAATGATCAAAAAGACAGAAATATTTTGTAATAAATAATCTGCAGATTCATAATTTTTTTTATAATTATTCATCTAATTTTCAATCTATTTTATATATCATTTTATTTTATATGATCATATATACATACATATAATAAATATATCAGTAAAATGATAGAATCTATTTCTATTTAAATGCGCATTCTTAAATTGAAGAACACAAAACTTCGAGATATTTTTTTCAATTTCATTTTCATTCCCTTTGATCATCTGTCACGAATAGATATAAGATATATATTACATTTATTCTTCTATGTATTCTACATATAAATTTAATTTACAATGGTGGACAATATGATATGACTGTTATCCAAGTCCCGAGTTTCACTTACCCAGCTCCCGTGAGTCTTGCACCGAGTGCACCGCAAGCCATAGCTTTATCAACGAGTGAATTGACACTGGGATGACTGCATTCGTATAGTTTGTGCATACTAAAATGGCTATTAGACATCAGATTGCCTAGTTGTTTTAACTTCTCCTCTTCCACAATTGCATTTTTCTCACTAATATGCTGGAATTCGAGCACTCTAGCCGCCTCTAAAATATATATGGAATTGTATGATCATTCAATCGATTGATATTTAATAAATGTACTAATAATGAACACACATTGATGTTAGTGTAAAAGATAATAGGAGTTAAAGCGATAAAAAATTGGATAAACATTTTTAATATGGATATAAAATTTCAAATTACTAAATAAAAATCCAGAGTTAATCTTCTCATATTTTTTTCTTGTTCTTTCTAATAGGATGTACATGTGCATCTTCGTATATATATTGTTTAAGAAAAATAATATAATATAGTTCTATTTAATAAAGGCCAGAGAGATGAGTAACAGAATATCTACGCTTATAAATCATGTAATAATCCCAAGATCTGAAGCTGATTTCATAGTCTGTGGGTAACAATGCAAAACAGCATATTGAATAATATTGGTATAAGATGTTAATATATTCGTAAAATACATTTGAAGAGTTAATTTTAAAAGCCAAAACAAACGCAAAATTTGATATAAAATGTAATTTATATAATATAAATATTTTATTTATATAATTAATATAATATAAATATAATAAATATAATCAATTAAAATTTGCATTAAATGAAGTGAAACGGGGGTAGAATGAGAGAGCTTTATCTTTGTCATATTATTATGTTGCTTTGTTTTGCCTTTGTTTTATTTAATTTAAATTGCTTATAATTATAATAATTTAATATATAAGTTTTAATAGATTTTTTATATATAAATTTTTTGTTTCAGCTTTAAGAAACTTTTAAAATTGATAATATGAATTTATTAGTTAATTTATTTTATTAATTAATATTTTATTGTTCTATGAATATATTAATATTGTATAATACTGAGTGTATTTTAATTGTATTATATTATATTATATGAAATTGAATGCATGAAATTTAATTGTTTTAAGTAATTCGCTGAAGATTATTATTCAAGATTAATTATATAACGTCTAATTAAACTTTCGCACGATTTTAATGGAAATTTTCAACAGGAAAGAAGCGTAATTCTTCAAATATCTATGTATATATCATATTAAATGTGTTAAATTTCTTTATCATTTTATATTTATTTACTGATATTCTAAAGAAAATTATCTCTTTACTAACAAAATCTGATAACAATCATTGAACAAGTTAAATTAAAAAAAGTTAAAATAAAAAAATTTGAATGGAAAGTTCTGAAGAATTCTTGTCATTTTCGCTATATTTCTAAGTCAATAAATTTTATGACTTGAATCGAATACGATTGGTTGCGAACAAATGATTACAATTAAAATTTATTACTTTATGAAGGAATGCATGCAAATGATTGATACGCGATTTTTTTTCTTTTAATTAGATTAAAAATTTTTTAATCAGATGATCAAATTGATTTAATGATAAAATAGTTTATTTTCAGTATTCTTAGAGATTTCGCAAATTCTTATCTGATATTCAAAATTTTACATACAATTTTTTCACATACAATATCAAATTTCTTTGATATTAGTAAGATGATAAAATTTGTATAAATAAATTATTCTGTTGGAAATATGATTCAGAACATTTCAGAAAAAAATAACAATGTAAATAAATTTTATTAAAAATTTTTCTGAGAATTAATGTATAGAAAGTTTGTTAGAGATATAAGAAAAAAATAATTTATGCGCTTTGTGTTTCAATGTTTTCATAAATTATTATTACCTTGATACACATGGAGAGCACGTTGTTTTAATTTGAAAATTTGCGCATTGCTAAAAGTTTGTAATAATGATATTTCACGAAGTTTCTCATTCGTTGTATCAAGGTTCTTGCTAATCTGAAAAAAATACGTGTATGGCTACTGATAATGAATTAAGTCTTATCATGGATAAAATCATGGATAAACAAAAATCAATTGACATAATATCTTATATCTATAATAGTTTTTTTTCAACAATGGATATTTTTTTTCAATAATAATATTCGAACAATTATTTGATATTATATATCAATTGCATGTTACGTTAACTGCATACCTCACTTAGGGTATATGGTTCTTCGTGAAGGTCGGTTGTTATAACTGAAACCATTTCGTCTAAGCTCATATTAAGACTCTCTTGAATATCGATTAGTCTTTGTACATGTTCCCAAGGTTTGTTTCTTTTTTTTGCTATCATCTATGAATAAATGAATTAATCTTAGAAAAAAGTCATGGTTTAAAAAGTACTAAAAAATTATGAATTAATTTTTTGAAAATAAAATTACAAAAAAGCATTGAAAAATGCTTAAAAACAAGAATTTTATCAATTTCTATCTATATGAGCAATATAAAAAGTTGTTTAATAATCATAAAATATAATAAAAAAAAATCTCATTAATCTCTTTGAAGATATATTTAATAAATATTCAAATTCATGTTGTTTGAAACCAATAAATAAATAAATCATTTTCAAATCTGCTTCTAGTAATTCCTTTTTCCTCTTTTATCTTATTATATTTTAACATCAAACATTATTCATTTTCTATATTTAATTCGCAAATAATAATTTATCTCAATTTAATTATTCAGTTTATTGTAAATATTTATATTCATATAAAATATGAATTATTTTAGCAAGTAAATAATTCAATAAATAAATTCAAATTCATAATTATAAAGAATTACCTGTGCAGCTAAGCGACATTCTGCAACTCTTAAATTATAATCTGTTGTGGAAGCTTTGTTATGACAAGCTTGGCTGTGCGCTATTACGAATACTGCGGTTTCCGGTAACATGACATCGGTACCACGCAAGGGGTTGAATTCGATTAGCATTGCAGAACCTTCATGAGTATTAACGAGCATCATCATAAACATATTCGTATTCGTAGATTATATAATATGATTAAACTAATAATTGTTGTTTTAGAAATGAAGAATTACCTGCTTTTCCAAGGAACGCGATTGCTTGATCCATTCCACCACCTTGAGTACCAATATATCTTTCAGCGTTAGCACTGATGGTAGCCAATTCACGTTTCGATAATTGATACTATAACAGAAACATTTCATTGATTCGAGAAATTCGAGTTCAATCTAAATTTCATTGTCAAATATTTTTCTTATTACAATATCTATATTTTTTTTGTAATTTACAGCCATTATACTAAATATCTTTCATCTTTGAAAATATTTATTCTAAGAGAACTCAATAATTATACTAGAAAGAAGATCTAGGAATATATCATCTAGAAAAGCAAATTTATTTCATTTTTGCAAATTGAAATTTGCATGATAAATTGCTAAATATTTTTAAGTTAATAGTAATTTTTAAGTTAAATTTCAACAATTAAAAAATGTTAAAATAAAAAAAAATAAATAGAAATCGAAGTCACTTTATTTTTAATTTATTTTGATAATTTTTAATAATTTATTTATTATGAAGAGTTATAAATTTAGTTTTGAATAAATTTTTATCATTTCAATTTCACGAAACAAGGAATGAGTCGAAGATCTTGGAATATTGATAATCTTTTAATTTCCGAACGTTTGAAAAAAAAAAAATTTTTTATCAAATGAACTTCTTAAGTCTATCTTAAACAAATAATTTTTCTGAATTTTTATCGATATGATCAATATATATAATATAATACTTTT